ATGATGGAGATATTGATTATAGTGATGCATATCACTGGAGTGGAGTGAGATCCGATTCCCTTAATGAACTTAAGGCACCGAAACAATACTGTGAGAAAACTGTACAAGTGAATTACATGTAGCTTTTATTCTTTAAAAACCTACCAGTGGTCATACCATAACAGTGCATTGCTATAATAAACAACAAGAGATGATACTTGTACTTTTTAATTTTGACTGATAATAACATTTAAAGAAAAACAAAGAGATGCTGCCTTTCCCAAAGTTTTTTGAAAAAAGTAGAAAAGGGAAAATAGAGAAAAAATATGGACACAGCTCTTTAAATCCCCTTTCTTGTATAGCTTTGGTAGTTTTCAAAGAAGCTATTGTACATAACATACATGCGCATCATTTTGAAAAGAGAATAGAAAATAGTTTAAAATACTTGTTTTTGGATTGATGATGTTACATGTATGCTCTTCTGACAAACAAATAACAAATCACTCTCTAAAGTGAGATACCATGCCCTACTTTTTCTGACCTCCCCCATGTAAGTAAGAATAGAATTCTCTGATCTGCTGTCAAGTACCTTCTTATCATATACGAGCATTATGGCTGGCTGCCCGAAAGAAGGCTGTCACGAGTCACATGTACGCATCGTGCATGGGAGTAATGGCCTTCTTGCTGGCAGCCAATGATATGCATGTAGAAAATCTCATCTACACATGTATTTCATCATGCATATATAGGCTGGAGTATCAATGAAAGAACAAAAGGAAAATGCTCATCAGCAGTAGATGTTAAAACATTCTCTGAGATGTTTTTTAAGATGGCCATTCTGAATTTTCATATTCTATATTTTTATTTCTCTCTTCTTTATACTATCATTTCTCTCTGATCCTCGTTGAATTTTCACAGAATACTACTCATACTTCAAAGGTAATATCCCACAACTTGTATAGCTTCATCTAAATCTATCATTCTACCCCGCCCCCCCCCCCCCCACCCCACCTCCCCTTCTCTTTCCCTATATCTCTTTTTCTGTATCTGTGAATCTCTTTTCTTTCTCTCCCACTCACTCACTCACACTCACTCACACTCACTTACTCACTCACTCACTCACTCTCTCTCTCACACTCACTCACTCACTCACTCACTCACTCACTCACTCACTCTCTCTCTCTCACACACACTCACTCACTCACTCACTCACTCACTCACTCTCTCTCTCTCACACTCACTCACTCACTCACTCACTCACTCACTCACTCTCTCTCTCTCACACTCACTCACTCACTCACTCACTCACTCACTCTCTCTCTCTCTCACACTCACTCACTCACTCACTCTCTCTCTCACACTCACTCACTCACTCACTCACTCACTCTCTCTCTCTCACACTCACTCACTCACTCACTCACTCACTCACTCACTCACTCTCTCTCTCTCACACTCACTCACTCACTCACTCACTCACTCACTCTCTCTCTCTCACACTCACTCACTCACTCACTCACTCACTCACTCTCTCTCACACACTCACTCACTCACTCATTCACTCACTCACTCACTCACTCACTCACTCACTCCATCCCTCCCTCTCTCTCTCACTCTCTCCCACCCTCTCTCTCTCACCGTCTCTCTCTATCTCTCTCTCCACCTCTCATCATCTTTCTCCCACCCTCCCTCTCACCCTCCCCTTCTCATTGATGGGTCCGACCTCAAGCATATGACACACTATGCTCTGACTAATCAGAATGTCTCATTCATCACGAATATAATCTTGCTTAATTTCATTTACCTAAAAGAAGAACAATCAATTTCTACAAACCTATCAATGAAAATTAAAAATGAGGTTCTTCACCCCCATGCGCATCATCACCAATGGCACAGAAACCATCCGTTAATCCTAATTGATTTTTCGCATAAAGAATTCCCCTGGGATACATTACCTATCCTCTCATTAACATCAAATGAACTTGCATTTCAAGCCCTAATTCCTTTTATCTCGATTACTTCCACAGTAGCGGGCTCGCATTCCGAGATACTCGGGAGGAACTCGTCAGGAAAGAAGCAAGTAATGTAGAATTTGCTTGTCCTGTCACCACTTATCACAATGAATGAAGCCATTAGGATGTTCACTGACCTCTAAATGCATGCCATCCATCTCATTTCATTCCTTTACTCTCACGTTCTTTCCATCATCTGCCTCATATTCCATGCTTTGACTTTCCTCTCCATCACTCCTTTAAAGGTATAGACCAGTTTTAGAAACGCCCCCTCTCAAAAAATGAAATGGAAGCTCTTATTACCAATCATATGAAAGAATATGTTTTGACTAATATGTGATGATAAAAAATTTGGAGGGAAACCGCCTACTAATTGATATATCTGGTAAATTATCATATTGATCCGACCTGGATAGATATCGCGAATGCACTTCAACATTGAATATTAGGGCATATGTTTCTGCTGTTTTTGCGAATTTAGGTTGAAGTATTGCCATCTAAACCTTTGAAGGCAGTATTTAAACAATATTGAAAGGATATTTGTACCCAATACCCTTGAACCGCAATTTTACCACTACCGGTATATATCTTTAAAATCTTCTCTCTTTCTACATTTCTCTTTCTCATTCTAGGTTTCTCTCACTCTTTCCCGATTTCTATAAGAACCTTCATCTCTTGCTTTGTATCTAATCTGAATTTCCCCATTAACTGTCTCTCTTTCTCATTCTCTCTTTCTTTGTCAGTTTCTTTGTAAGCCTTAATCTTAGTCACTCCATTCCCCCCCCCCCCACCCTTCTTCTCTCCCTTTATACCTCTATACTCTCTCTTTCTTTCCTTTTGTCTCTCTGCATGAAAGCGCAACTTCTGACAATTCATTGCATACTACAAGAACATGCCAAACGTAACCAAACACTCCTTTGTACAACCAAAGCAAGGTGACAGATACAATACAACGCAAAATTGATCTTCTGTGACATCCAACAATAGCCTTCTTTTTGTTGGTCTAATCTTGCCGCTCTTCTGTCTCGTCTTGCCGCTTTCTGTCACCGTATCGCCGCTCTATACAAGCATCCTCCAAGGTTCTTTATCTTAATAGGGCTTGCATTTGGAAATGACATGTAATTAAGTTTTTATTGGTGATGTTTGATGAGGCAGAGAGAAGACACTCATCAGTCAGATCAACGACCTGTGACTCCGGCATAGCGCCCTCGCAGGCTCATCAAGGAAGGGTTCCCCTCATCAAGGGAAGATGGCTAATTCCTGGAGATGATCCCCCAGCTCCCTAGACAAATTGCTTCTCTTGAGGAGATAGCGACGACGACTTGGGCCGTGTTTCCATTCCCAGAAAGATGAATGGACTCCCTCCCTCCCATGCAGCCCTAACCTTCTTTATTACATTCCCTTAAGAATACAAGCTATTTGAGGTATTCCTAGAACTTGAAGGTGGTCCATAGGGAACAGTCCCTGTGTAAAAATTTAAGTAGCCTATAAAAGGGTCCTATAAATGAACTTGATTGGTCGTCCAGAATACCATTAAAAAATGCTATCAGTTGGGCAAGTATATGGAGATATATACATATATTGTATATAGTAATTATTGATATAATGAATCTGGCAAGCATTGTAGTTTGTAACATATATAGTGGCTAAAACTGACAAAACATAATTCAATTATCGTCACAGATATCTGTACCTGATACCAAAATATCAGCATTTTCCACAAAGCCACCAATTCTAAATTAAAAACCACAGAAATACTACCATCTAATGCAATAAATTAACAATCCATGTTGATTGATCTACCACAAAGGTAAGAAAAGAAGTTAAATGTAGATGGCAATAAACTATTTATTTCAGAAGGTGTTTGAAGACTGGAAAAAGTGAAGTATTACCATTCAAATGGGGCAAGAGTGCAAACATTTTCAAAACGATACATTTGACATTTTGAACATGCTGGATACACCCTTTACCCATGTAGTATCTATTACAGCAATATAAAGAATGAGATACAACATTTCACACTGTCACTCCTCAGCCATTTTAAATGGAGTTTTTAGAATGTATCACCTATCCCATTTTTAATCTCACCTCGTTCATAATTAATTTTCTAACTATCTTTCACTACACCTCCCATCATGGAGAACATCCGAGAAGAAAATGAGTTGCTAATTTGACTTGGGAAAGAAGTGGTTACGACAAACCCCGAAGACGACATTAAAGAGAGATCAACTTTTCACTAGACTGACATTTCATTTGGATGACGCATCTTGGACTATGACTCATAACAGTTCCTTTCATCAGCAAATCAAACTCCTTTAATCTCATAGTAATCGTGATACTGGAGGAATGCATCTTTGTTGCCAATTTGCCTCTACCAATACCTTAGTGATTTCTATAATTTTGGCTCTGCCCTATTGTTCATATTTTAAGAATAGTCCTAAAGCGATTGGCTAACTTTATCTCAGATTCTGAAACAAAATCCTGGATTTAGCTCATGCTGAAATGATAATTATAAACCTTTTAGGTAAGTCAAGAACCTTTTACCAGCCGATCATCTGTCTGATTATATCAAGATAATTATGATTGGAATTAGAAATAAAAATTTGTTTTCCTAACGGTTTTTATAACACTACAACCTATTGGGGAAAATGAGTCAGGTAAAACTGGTCACTCAAAGATTTTTACTTTTTTGAGGCACTTCATGATCACTTTGAAGTGCAATTTTTTTAGGGCTTCAATATTACACCATATCACAGTCGCTGATAACACGTAGGGCCATGCATCTTAAATTTAACATTGTTAAACGATGCCTTTAAGAATCAATTAATTTATGGTCAATTCATGAATTTTCTTCCCCACAAAAATGCATCCATCTTGCTGGCCTGCACATTCTAGTATTTTTTTAACTGTTCCTTTCATCAGCAACCTTCTCGAGAAGGCAAGAAGGTCGTTCAAGATATGTATTGTGAATAGCAGTAACGACCTTCTCACTAATAAAATGGGAATACTTACAAGACAGTGAGACTTGTCAAGCCTTCAAACGCTCTGGGTTCGATGTAGCTGATAGAATTCCTGCTCAGGTTCCTGCATTGAGAAAGGACACCAAAAGAAAAAACGAAGGCTATAAATAAACTGATATTTGCAATATCCACTACACATGAATGACTATTCTGAATTAATGTTTTCATTTCTCACTTTCTTCTGTTAAGTGTAATATGCTTTTTTGTTGTATTGCATCTACCCACATATACATGTACATTAACACTTTTTTCTTCTTTCTATTAGGCACTATGTCATTTTCAAATGAAATGCAACGGCAATAGGAAGGTTCTTGAAATGTCAGCACCAAATAATGACAATACATGTTCTTGCTAGTCTTATCCATGTTTCTCTCTCTCTCTCTCTCTTTCTCTCTCCCTCTCTCTCCTTCCCTATATATATATCTTCTTCCTCCTCCTCATCATCACCATCACTGCTCTCCTTCTCTCCCTCCTCCTCCTTCTAAGATTTACTTGTATCATGCATATGAAAATGTTGGAAACACAGGCAACAATGCTTGGTTATTGAGGTGAGGGAGGGGGCAGCTAGATAGGTGACAAAATGAACACAACAACACACATCTGCAGTTGGGCAGCATACGCCTACATACACATATGGATTTCACAACCTCAATTAAATGATTAATGAAAAGATTTCCCCTCATGACCTTGCCCCTTCTAGCTGACCATGACATCGTCTCATTATCCAGTAAAACCAGATGACCGAGTCTAGCACGGACATCTGCCCATCTGCCCATCTGGCTAAGGGACAGTACACCCATGTTTTATGGTTACTGGCTGTCATATTGCATTCTCTATGAACGGCATAGTCGAGATGCGCCAGATACCAAGGCGTCATTAGCAATGCGGGGATCCAGAAATCGGGTTAGATACAATCTACAGCAGGGAAGCATATGAGATGTACCCCAGTTCAGCCTAGCAAAAGTCGTTGTATAACTCTACGAAAATCATTTAGCAAGGCACAAAACAATATTCTTATTTTAATTTATCTTTAGTCTCAATGTCCCATATTAATAAAGCATCAACAGTATGGTAAAAATGGAGATTTGATCCTAGAGAATCAAGGTTCACTTCTAGTATGAATGTTGTATTATATAAACCCTGTATAACTGAAGGCACTGATGATTGGCTAGCTGACTGAAACCATACATAACATCAACTGATCTCTTCAACACAAGTTTCATTGTAAAATTTTCTTTCACGTGTGAACGCCCCTTTTGCTAAATCGCAATTATTATAACGATTCTTTACACGTTTCTCTATTCAACTTTTGTACAACTTTCTCCTTGTGCGAATGGGGCAGCATTTTTTGCAGGGTCTCTCTGTGTACTGTAGCCTGGTGCTATGTCCACTTCACATACCATCATGGTTGTTTACATCTCAAACTGTAAACATCATACGCATTCCTGTCGAACATCTGATTGGGATAATTTTAGTGCAAGGAAGAAGCTACACAGTCACATCCTTCTGCAAAGCAAGCTTACATCAGTAGGTCCATGCTTACATGTAGGAAATCTAACATCCTCTTGTTTTGGAGCATCATCAAAATCTTGTTTGATCTCTTTCTATTCGTCAAATTCCTGTCAGATCATAAATCAGTAGAGTGATAATCATACAGGACCGAAATTGCAATAATTTCTGTACTGGATTCTTTGTTAAACACACAGAAAATCATATTTTCTTCCCTGGAATACTCTACTCTTTCACTCACTTATATTTTAATCAAATTGGATGCTCTGAAATGCTTGCACGGCGACCAAATTAAATTTCAACTGATTGCTAAAACTTTGAGTAGGTCCTGCCCCTCACACCCCTACCCCCTCATGTGGCCTACATGTATGTCACTATTAAAACTGTTTTCACACTGGCAATATTTTGCTTAACCCCGTACTATAGTTTGGGTTAAGGGGGGGTCTTAGCCCCACCTATAGTACAGGGTTAAGCCTATTCCACTTTCTGTTCAGACTGGCTTTTACCAAAGTGGGCTAAACTCCGCAATTGTGGTGCTAACTCCTGCTAACCCCGCAATTGCGGTGCCAAGCAAATGAATGAGAACAGAAACGAAAAATAGTCCGGTACTACGCAATGGAGCGTATCGCAGCTGGCCAGAATTGCAGTGAGAACAGCGTGACTTTTCTTATTCCGGAATAGGCGCTAGTACGGGACTAAAAGCAGCATGTGTGAAAAGCCAAAAAAAAATAGTCCGGGGTTAAGGATAGTACGGGGCTAAGCAAAGTACGGGGTTAAGCAAAACAAGTGTGAAAAGAGTATAAGAGAATACTCATTTTAACAATTCAATGCTCTGCCTCAACTTTTAAAAATGTCTAAAAGTAACAATTTCTCTCTTTGGATCAATATAACAAAAAGGATATTAAAAATGAACATTAGGGATTCAGGAAGAAAATAACAAGATATCTGTATGTATATTAAATCATAGTCCGGCTTAACATTTATGGCAGGCTTTATAATCTATAGCCTTTGGGTCTGTGAAAGGCCATTCATCACTAAGCTCTCCCTTTAAAGGTCAACAATCTGGATTATTCAAAAAGCTAACACCAGGTTATATACATCAATCCTGGGCAATGATAAATATTGGGACGAGATATTAATTAGCGCATTCATCACTCTCTGAATGCCATCACCGTCATTAGCACAAATCCCTTATCTCAATATCATAAGGGACTTCGGGCTTAACCCAATGACTGCTGAGTTCTCTCGTTCCCATAGGCTTTTATACAGGAGCCATGAAGTTCCAGGAGGCAAGGGGTTAAAAAGATGGTCTGCTAAGAACGGGGGTGATAGTGAGCACAATTTTTGTTTGCCCTCAACCACGCCCCTCTGGAGTAAAAAAAGAGAGAAGAGGATTCAGGGGGGGGGTGGTATTTAACAACATTTCCCCCCTTTTGAGTAAGAAAATTGGGAACAAATACGGCAAAATAGTGATAAAATCTGGGGGGGGGGGGGGAGGGGGGAGAATAAAATCGGGTAATACAAAAAAAAATCTGGAAACCAATTTAAATCAGATAATTATCAGGCCTGTAAGAACCAAAAGGGCATGAACTCTATGTAAAATGATGTGAGTAAATGTTCTTTTGGCTTTCAAATTTAATAGTCTCTGATTTGGTGCAAATTAAAATTGGGGGCTCCTCCCATCACAGTTACACTGCCATGTGAAAATTCTTAGTAGTAAGAAGGGAACCACAAACATGATTGAAATATATTAAACAGTTTACAAAAGTTATTTTTGAATACAGAAAGGGAACTATCCATCCCTTTTGGGGAATTTTTTGTTGTTGAAAATCCCCAGAAAGGTATTAAGAGTTTTAAGGTACCTTTTGGGTTAAATATTTGAAGATGGGCACATTTCCTCTTGTGCACTTGATTTTAAAATGGGAACATGGGCTTGTTGTGCCCCCCCCCCTCCCTCACTGTCGATTTTCATCTTACATACTGGTAGTAAAGAACTTCATCATCTTGCAGAGTAAAGGATGACATTACGACAGGACAATCCCAGCGCCTTATGGTGTTTTGATGCGGAAATGGACGAATCGCTAGGAGATAGATATTAGGTATTCAAGCTTGAATCTCTTTTTACAAGTGAAAGGGGGATGGATCCATATCTCTCTCACCGATAACAAGGTTGGTGTACTATCATCCCCAGTCACAGAGCACACTGTGATGTATACATGCAAAATATTCTATGAAGATGATTGATCAAGATAGATCTAGGCATAGTGGTTGTCTAAAAGGGACTCTTTTTTAAACAATTAGCAGGTTTTGTTCAAGTTGTTGCTATGATTATCAAATGATTAGGGTAGGCTTTGTGCTTACAAACTGACCATACAATTTGGTATATATGTTTAACATGTTTGAAATCTTAATCAAGTTCATGCCATTTAAGGAAGCATATTTTAGAAAAACCAAGCTTAAATGTGCTTTTTTCTGTTTTAAGATGGCCCCCTTACAGGTATAAAGCTACAGTCCCATATACGTCCCGGACCGTGCCGGACCATCCCGGACCCCATCCGGGGTGATCCGGGATTCGGTCCGTGTTGACACCGTGTTGGCACCGGGGTGGTCCTGGATGGTCCTGGATGGTCCTGGATGGTCCTGGGCGGTCCGGGAGTCGACCCCGGATGTTTTTGACGGTCAAAAACTGCCGGGGTGGTCCGGGACGGTCCGGGACAAAAGTTTGATCCGGGGTGATCCGTGTAGCCACCGTGCTGGGTCCGGGGTCATCCGTAGTGGCGCCGGGGCGGTCCGTGTTGATCCGTGGCAGTCCGGGAGTGAGTTATTGACCGCCCAGGACCATCCAGGACCATCCAGGACCATCCAGGACCATCCAGGACCACCCCGGTCCCAACACGGTGTCAACACGGACCGAATCCCGGATCAACCCGGATGGGGTCCGGGATGGTCTGGGACGGTCCGGGACGTATATGGGACTGTAGCTTTTAAAGCATCACACTTTTTTTAACAAAACATCCCGGACCATCCCGGATCACCCCAGACCATGGTCCGGGATGGTCCGGAGTGGTCCGTGCTCGTCCGTGCTGGTCCGGCTTTATATGGGACTGGGGCTTTGAGCTTAAGTGCATGAATATAACTGCAAGTACAGGTGTATATTTAAAAACTAGACCTGTTTTTTTTTTTAATGTGATCATGAGCTGAAATAAGAGTAATACAGAAGTAATAAAGAAATTTAGGTAAAGCTCAGACATCAAGACTCAAGCCAGACAAAAACATAGAGTCAGGAAGATCATCGAAATAGAACCTAACAAATCAATGTCTTTGTAACTATGACATCAGGCCCACACTACACTTTCATGTTGCCCCCGACCCCATTAATCACTTCCATGTATTTTCACAAGATAATATGTCAGTTAGATTGGCGTGGGATTTACATCAGATATTGTAAGTGTCTGTATTTCAAAATATTATTTATTGAGCGCAAGACAGGAATTAACTCTCTTTCAAAAGGCGAGTTAATGCCCTTTTGGCACTCAGCAGAGAAATTATCTCAAATACAAGAACATCAGTCTCATGCTATAGTAAACTTCCCTTTCTCCAATATTTTTCTTGTCGTCCTATGCCTCCTTCTTCTCCCCCAGCTTGGTCTTGTTCGCTGC